TTTGGCCCGCGGGCCGTAGTTTGGAGACCCCTGGTCTAGTGTATAAGCGACTTGTAGGAAAAGTCAGAAAGTAGATTCTCTGAAATATGAATATATATGTTTAACATTCGTTGTATTCTGATGAAAAATTATAATATCGTGAAACAGAAAGTACCGAATATTTTTTGTATAAACAGGTGATCATTGAAATTTTGATATGCTGCGTACTGGAACGAATCAAGACTGATAACGAAACACGTAATTTTCAGATACATTCTGAAATGTCGCAGTACTTTCTTTGAAATTTTGAACTTAAAACTCTGTCGAAAAATGACCAACAGAAATATGATTTTATTCACTAGAACCGTAACAACGAAAAATTTGTTGAATATTAATTTCATTACTTTCTAATAAAGTTGACTGAATATTTCAACTGGGTATATTAGATGTTTAGAAAACCACGATACCTGTTCCGCTATAAAATAGCTTCCTCAGGCACTATTGATATATTATTCCTGAATTGTAATCATTCCATAATCAGAAACATTACCTACTACCTACGGTTCAACCCGAAAATTGATTCCAGGCAAGATTTAATTATCTGAAAACAGCCAATATAATTATTAATTCACTTATGAAAAGAGGTAAAGATAGGATAATGAATTATTAATCATCACACAGTAATTATTCTAGGGAGAATAAATATCTGGTAGAAATGAATTCAGCAAAGAACAGTTATTTAAATCGATTTGTATCAATGACATCGTAATAGGGGATAGTTGATCAGTGAAATTTTTGAGATGCTGCATTTTCAGGTTAGTTCTGAATTGTGGCGATGCTTCCTTTGGAATGTTGAACCTGTATCTATGTGCCGCTTAGGATGTAATCTCCAATACTTTGTTAGAACTAGATGAGCGTAAAAAATGAAGACTCTTGTCATTATACTGTTATTCACGAAATTTTGTTAAACAAATTAAATGATATTGGTAGTAGAGGTGATGGATTTTCAAGGTCTCAAAATTATTTTAGTGATAGAAAACAATGTGTGTTTCTGGAAAAGAAAAGAGTTTCATAATCAAATTTTGTTTGTTGAGTCCCGCAGAGATTAGGACTTCTACTCTTTTTCATTTATAAGAAGTATGTTTCGGAATCACAGCTTTTTGGAAAATAAGGACTATTTGCTGATGATACAACTTTGACTGCAATGGTGATTCACAATTATCATTCAATTATTTATTATTACACAATCATCACTCACAATTATTTCGGCTTCACGAATGGAGGCCGCAACAGATATTTGGTACAAATTAACTTTGCAGGTACTTTGAAAAAATCTTTATTTATGTTTATTAATATAAAGCCCCTCCAGCCAACAACTTCTAAATTAGTGTTAGGAGAAGCAACATTTGTGTATTGTGGTTTAAGATCAACTTACAGAAGAAACTTTTTTGTGGAACATTCATTTAAAATCATATTTTTTGAATAATATATGGAAAACACGTCAAATATCATTTCGAAACCATCAAAGAGTCAACAAAATTAAGCCTTAAAATGAATTTTTCATCTACCTTCAATATATTTTACTGAGAATCTATATGAAACAGATTCTTTTAGGATATCAATTCTACTCATAAACTGAAATTATGTACCATTTGCAGTTCGCTATAAAGAAAGAAATATTCCACCTTGAAATTTTTAGACAAGGTAGTACAGTTCTGAAAATATTTTTGCTATGACGAATTACCAAACAACATTGAAAGATTTTTCAACACTGTCGATTTAAAATTGGCATTGAAGAAGCATTTGTTGAATAGTTAAATATTATGTCTATTTTTTTTGTTATCAATCACTCACAATCTCAATCAACCACACTCATTTTGAAAGTTTCTTTTGAAGTAATTTAATCATATGCAAATACTTCTTGTATACTTTCCCTGTGTGAACCATTGTAGTTTATTGAGAATATTTCATTATTATCAATCAATTTGTTCTAACCAGATATTCATACTTATTCTTCCTAGAATAATTTAAAGCGATCTTCAAGCATCTCATGTGGATTTTCTTCAACCCAAACATGGTTATTGTGGAAATCCTTCATGGCAATTCTTGAAAAAGTGGCTTAATCGGTAAAAATAATAAGCGTCAGTAGTTGAGGGATTTAAATCGATGTTCGCAAAAGCCATTGACAGATTGCAATACGTAGATGAAAATCTGCAGAAATGCCTGAGCTCGTTGTATGTGATATGGATACAAAAAATAGTCTCTAAGAATGTTCCAAATCGTTCCGTTACTTACATTTAAAGTATTTGCAATTTTTCGAGTAGGGGAACCCGGATCTTTTTTTTTCGTGGCCAACACATTCTCTTCTACTTCTCTCGTTCGTACTGTCATTGGCCTTTCTTATCCTCCATTTCGCTTCAATGCTCCTGTTTCACGAAGTCGTTGATGTATACTTTGGAAGGTTTTTCTAGGCACATTACGATTAGGAAATCGTTCACTGTACAAACGCATAGTATGCAAATGAATTGCTATCAGCAAGTCCATAAATGAAATGCATGTCAGCCATCTCTGCGGTAATATAGCTGCGGTATATGCACGTTAAATAGACACAGTCAATCAGTTTTAACCTATTCGACACATACAAATGATCACATACTATTCAAATTGAATGTCTGCAGCCATTTGTGGTAATCGGAATGTTGTTAATAGGTACCAACGGAATTGTTAGATTTTTTATGACTTGGTAGGTCCAGTGTAGTACGCTGTACTTCCATTTCAGCTACGTTAATAATTTTAAAATTGTCGAAATCCTTTTTCGCCCCGTATCTTCGAAACAAAGTGTCCCATCGAAAATTTGATTCTACCCGTATTAGAGAAGAGGATTATCGGCAAAGTAATTGTCGATAATAAAAAAATACTACAGTATCCGATGTGACAATGGTCGAAGTGATCTATCTTACGCGCTAGTTTTAATGAGCAAATAAAATGTAAAAATGTGTGGGATAATATGAAACGAAATTTCCGTTTTGGAATTGACAAAAAAATATTACTTTTAGATTTATCTGATTTTCATCCTTCTCTCAAATCTTTCATAATTATTAATTCACAATATCAAAATTTTTCAACATTTCAACATATTCTTGTTTGAATGACCGTTTATTGATTGTCATGTTCTTTTTAGATCAGATCCTCTCACTTCTAGGAAATGCTTGAATTGGAAAAAAATTTACAAAAACCATCTCAAAAAAAACAATTCAACAAAAAACAACTACAAGACAAGTTCATCAGCGTCAGTACTTATAACTCACCTGCGACATCCCTTTCACATGGGACTCCAACGCCTATGGAGTTGTTGGCATAGCAAAGATATGTCCTGAAGTTGTCCACACTGGAATCGAGCAACAGAAAACTTTTCAGACCCTCTTGTATGATGTTGTTAGTTTCGATAAACGTTTCGTTTAGTTCTCGTACTCTCCAGACAAAGCTCACGTCTGAAGGATTGGCTTGTGCTGTACATACCAGAGATGGATTGCCATCCCTGTCAACAGTAGTTATGGAACATTCGGGAGCATCTGAAAAAAAAGGATATACGTATCCAATAACGTCAGAGAGATATATTCACAACTGCTCTCAAATGTTCAGGTCATTAGAATCGCAAATTTCACAAGCCTCCCTGAGAATGTGTAGTAATTCAATGATAAAAATCTGACTTACTCTTCTCGGAGAGAAAATAATCAAAGTGACTCTGAATAACTATATTAATGGGGTACTCGAATTATTACCTCTCAGTACACTGATTTGAGGTAATACCCCGAAATATCCAGCGTGGTATTAGACGGGAAAGTAGTTATTTTGCAGCAGGCATTTACCAGAACTTGGGTGTAGGTAGTTGGATGAGATGAATATTTCGAAATGTTATTTCGAAATATTTATTTTCAGATACGTATGCATCTCTCCTCGACACGGTTTGAAATATGTTTGCCGCTCTGATCGTTGCCTTAACAATTCACTTTCGAAGCTAAGGGTGCATTATTGTATTAGAACAGATTGATAGTTGATAAGGATTGTAAATATCAGTAATTGTGACCTGTTTTCTATATGATCCGTGACTTGGACAGCTGTTCTGAGGCAGCTGTTCGAGTTGTTGAGTTGTATTGTTTTTGGCAGTCAACGAGGTGAAAAGAACAGTTGTTTCTATTTTCATGCAGAAGATACACAATGAATTGACAACAAGATTGGGTGTTAGGAGAGAGTAAGCGAAACATTCTCTTTACTTTGAGAATCGAAACTTCACAATTCCAACAACTGAACTCTCCAAATAATTGGTTATCTGAATATTTTATATGAACAAGACACATTCATAACCTCAGAAAGGAGATTCCTCCAATCACTGTTGATTTATACAGAATGACGTCTTTTTTGTGGAGGTCTTTTTTTTTGCTCCGAAAATATCAGAAAATTATTTATTATAGTCTGATGTTTCCTAAGTTAGAATATTTATTATCTGTTCATTATAAAATGAAACCATAAAATGTATTTATGCATTACCATTTATAGACCAACAATGACTTATTTAAACCTAGAAATCTATTAAACATTAATTCTTTGTTCAGGTTTCATATTGTACTACACTGGAATGAAAATTTGTGATACTCTGTCCAATCACCTGAATAATTTCAATGTNAAACCAAATCTTCAGTTCGAGCAATAGGATCTGAAGTATAATTTTTTTTCCACATATAAGACAGTATTGGGCGACCGCTTCCATGGCACTTTATAGGACTGGGAGCCTGATTTTCTACAACGTTCACTATTTTGGGAGATACGATGATATCCTCGGGTGGATCTGTTACATAAAAAATTGCATTTAATGGTGATATTAACTGAAAATATTTACCTGATGAGAGTTATATAATTATTATGCTAACATTCTTTGGCACCAAAAAACAATTGGTGCTTTTGAAATAGTACAATTGAAAGGAACAATGGAATATTAGGGCAAATTATCCAGTCAAGATCAAAAACTATCAAAGATGAATCTCAGGTAATCAAAGAATCATTCGACTGCACTCACAATCAACTGCTACTTCAAAATCTTTGCTGATACCCGGACCAATCTTATTTGATGTAGCTTGGCAAGTGTATATGGAGTTTGGAGCAGATTTGTTCAAACTTCCTCCAGGCCATGCAGTCATATTCCAAATCTGAAAACAGAATACTTGTTAGTGACAACTCTACTTGAATGTGGATAAAAATTTGTTATTTCATCGGGAACCATTGATGACTATGAATATTCGTAAGATATGAATCATTCAACCAGGTTCAATGCAATGCCACAAAAACACAGGCATCGGTTTTTTCCAAAAATATATATGTCCCCGAACTGGATATATTAATGTCAGGATAGATAATTTCGCTTTCTGCTTCGATGACTTTGTTGGAGGTTAAAATGGACACCAATATGTCTTGCCACAATTATGTCGCTGGAATTGCAAAGACTGATTCTCAAAAGCTTGGAACACTGTTCCGAACCAGAAAACTGTACACATCTATGAAGTGCCGCCCTTGAACATATCCTGAAACTGCTGGATTCTATCCAGAAAAGAGCCATCCGCCTGATTGGAGACGCGAATATTATTTGCAACCTTGATAGTCTGGAACATCCGAACATGGATACTTTCACAGAAAGTGTTCAAGTGACTGGGCACATTTAATTCCTTCAAAAACGGTACATATAAGAAATACGCGATGGACTGTGGCTGCTCATTGTTTTGAGGTTGAACTCAGTACACCTCCAACTTAACTGTTTGAAAACTCTTTCATTTGGAGAACTGCGTTTATGTGGAATAAACTTCCTGTGAGAACGTTTCCCCAAATGGGTACAATCAAAAGTGATTCAAATCCCATATGAATCGCTACTAATATTTTTTTTGCAAAAGTTTCCCACTATGATTTTGGAGCGTGTCCACATGATTTTTTTTACTTTTTCCCTGCATCTCAGTTACAAAATCTGAAGAATGTTGAAAACATCTCATCTTTTCTTATCAGGCAATCTCATAATTTCTCATATATATTTTGATGCGAATATTTCTGATTTGCATGACAAATATTTGTTCGGTTGTTAACTCAACCTGCAAATAATATACATAAACAATTTTAAGGCAACCTGTAGGTATTGATATTTCAAACGTCACAGGTCTCTGGCAGATGCCCGAAAAAACGACTACTGCAAAACATTTAACAGGAATGCGGGATGAAGTAAGGCAGGGAACTTTTTCAATAAAAGAACCGTAAACTTACCAAAGTCGAGTTTATCGATTCGAAATCGTTTTTCTGTAGATTCGGAGGCAAAAAGTGCGTTTCAACGTAATACAGCGGATTGTGGGCGATATCCAATTTCACTCCGTCCTTATGCCACACTATGGAACATTCCGGATAACATTCCACTATGCACGTTAGGTTGATATGCTTGGAGGAGTAAAGTACCCCATGGTAGGTGCTGAGGGAATTATAAAAAGTGGGTGGAGCTGAAAAATAGGATAATTTGCAAATATAAATGGTCGTAATGTATGTTGTTGTTTAATATAAAACTGAAATAATTTTCATATATCAAGTTGAAATACCCGAAAATGAAAATTGGTTTTTGATATATTTTTCATTGGCGAAGCACTTGTGGTAAAATATTTCAATGTTATGAATGCATGAAAAAAGCATAGAAGTGAATTGACAAATAATGGTTGAGAAAATAATGCAATGTCGAAAAAAATAGACCAATTGATACAATTTATTGTATGATTTTCATTATAAAGGGTTTTACAAAAACCGCGACATTTGTTTCTATTGAGGCAGCTATTCTATAGCGGAACACGTGTCCAGTTTTTGTTAAACCTTAATGGGAAAATCTCATAGTTGCAAATATTTTATAAATTCAATTTTGTAACTTTCATTAAAATTTCGACTACTCCTCAAGATTCAAAAGGTTTTGATTCATCACTATTTCAAATTTTATTGAAATCTGTTCATTATCAGACATGTAAATTTCCTTCACCAATAAAACAAAATTTCAAAAATATTTTATGAAATTGACTATCTAATATAGTTTGATGTGCAATTTTTCCGATGAAAATTTCCATAATGAATATCTATCTAGATTTTCATCAAGTATCGGCCAGTTCCATTCAGTTTCGAAAACATATATCGCTAAATGAAAAGTTTGCAAATGTCTCACTGGAAGACTGAGTTGAGAGAACAACAATCACCAAAATGTGATTTATTCATGATAATCAATATCTCATTCACGATCACTGCAAATAATATAAATGAAAAAATACGAAACTGAAACACAATTGTAACTTTTGTGACCCCCACGAAACGTCCATTCAAGCCAATCATTTATCATATCCCTGGCGAACATTTTTAATGGGTTTCGTAATTATAGCAGAGTGAGAAAGTACAGCACAAACTTGCTGAATTATTGTGGAAAGTTCCATTCCATTGCTCGGATGTGATATTTAGATATTTTATCTAAGTTAGCGGCGTAAAAAATAGTGCGGTTTGGTGATTAACATAATTTCAATTTGACAAACTCTAATTGTGAATATACATTTCTTGTTATAGGGAACTCGTGGAATTGATATTGCCTTCGAAAACCATTGTCAATTATTGTCTCACTCATGGTGATAGTTGAATGTTTCAAGATTAAAAATTTCAAGACGAGAGAAACCTTGTTTTTTGACAACTTTTACAATTTTCACATCGATACCATAAAAACCACAAGTTTTTATCGGGCTCAATTACTCAATTATATTCATGATTTCTCAAAAACTTGATAGTTCATATCTCTTTCTTCTTGTGATGCTGCAACTTGAGAAATACGTATAATTTCGAATTTTTGTTGAACTAACCTATTATCTTTTTTATTTTGGAGAATGAACTCAAATTGCTAGATGGATCATCGAATGACAATTGATGTACAAATAGATGATCAACTATAAGTTGCATTTGTAGTTGCATTTTGAATTCGAAAACTCGAATGACTATAGAAATTTTCAGTTGTTTTGATGCAATAATTGTACGTCATTTCAATATATTCTTCAAAATATCTTCACTCACAACTTTTTGAATGACGAACAAATTCTGATGAAATTATGAAGAGTGGAAGAGCAAAGTCTGTTGAATCCAATGAAGGTGTCAGAATTTTTATGAAAGTTCTGAAAGAGTTTTGAAGTTGGCCCTGAAAACGAAGACTCATTCACTCTGTTGACAAAATTGAAGCAATCTAATCTCAGTTGGTGTTCAGGAATATTAGCATCTGAATATACATTTGAACAATGAATCATCAATCAAATTCAAGTCAAGTGTAGCAATTAATTTATAATTCTGTTAGTTCGACCAATCTGTGCTATTGATGCCAGTATCATTTCATTTGAACTGATTTCAGATATTCAATCACGGAAAGTTAATGAATATAGTTTGAATGGATGAGTGGAATGTTCACCCTCAATTTAGCTTTATCCAAATACAAAATAGAGCCGCCACAATTGAACAATTAGTAATAGAAGGCCTGATATTATATTTTTGTCCAGAAATAGTGAGAAAAACTCTTTTAGGCTTCGACACCAATATTCATTAGTGCAGAAGCTTCTTATGATTGCAAGGAAGAGCCAAAATTACTAATAAAATGAAAATCATCAGGAAATGATGGAAAATATAGTGCTTATCATATGACGAAAAAATGTAAGTCCATGTAAGGGATGAAATGGGACGAAAACCACTGTTCTGGATATGATGTCGTATTTTTTCAATCTGAATATTTAGTATGATATCTTATGTTGATGTTTAACTTTGGGAAAACACCCCATTTTCAGGTCGATAGACCCATGTGCTGGGCATTTTTTTCAAAATTAATATTTGTACTTTTTTGTTGAAGTATATACTTTCAGACGATCTGAAAGAAAAATAACATTTCTATAGGGAAATTAGACAGAAAATACGAATTACTGCAAAAACTTCATTTTCTGAAATTTTTGGTGAATTTTTTCATGATAATGTTACTTTTTGTGCACCATGACATGCATTTTCACTTCACTTCATCTTAAGATCCTACATAGTATGAATGAAAAATCAACTTTTTCATTATACAAATATACTTGTGAGAGTTTTTTAAAATCCCATGAGAAAAAAATCTGGTTGTAAAATGGAAAGAATTTCTTTTTCGAATCTAATATATAAAAATGTATGTTTGTTGGTTGGTTGCTTGGTTGGTTGGTTGGTTGCTTGGTTGGTTGGTTGGTAAGTGATAAACTTCTACATCGCTCAACCGATCGTGATGAAACTTGACATGTATGAGTAATCTTTCATAGAGAAGGTTTTTAGGCTACCAATTTGTCTGTAACTCGCCACTGGATGGCGCTGTAGACATTTTTTTTAAAGCACGGTTCTATAACGCTGCGCACGCCTAAGTTCGTTGATTCTGATTCTGTCTAAACATTGGAACACCAGCGATACAGCAACATAGTACTAATTAGTACTACAACTACCAAATTCTACGCGAGTGAAGCTGCGGGCAACAACTAGTAATTTTATATTTGTGTGAAAAAACAGTTTCATTCCGAATTGTGGAAAATTTCATTACCTGATGGAAAACTACACTTCATACCCAATAGTTCACTTCAAAATAATCAAAGCATATTTAGAATACAAAAAGATATTTTTTCATCAAATATCGTGGAGAAATTGGTTTTTCCAATTCATCTCACGGCTATTTGGAACTATTTGGAAAAATGGCCCAAGAGAAAGTAATACATTTGAATTGAATTTTTTTGAAAATCATAAAAACTATTTCATTCTTCTAACTTTGGATAGATTTCAATTAATTTTTCCCATGTTGAACACACTATTTTTGTGATGTTATTAATTTTGTCCTTTTGAAATATTATTTGCATTTGTCTAATGAGGTAACAAGACCTGACGTCCAATTCACAGCTTTGTAGACGGTCAATGATCGCATCTCTAAGTTCACCCATGAAAGGTGGCAGGTTCATGATCACTCTGTGTGGAGGATGGCCAAGAAGTTGGAAAACCGCTTCGAGGCCATACCTAATATACAGAAGGATCAGGAACACGCGTTGACGGACCTTCAAAAGGCTCGGTTGTTCGCCATTCAGCATTCAGCATATCAAGCCCCGGGGCTTGATAGAATCGATGCGGTTTTACTCCGCAATTTACCTCGTAAAGGTCTTGTGAAGTTAGTGCTAGTTGATAACGCAATAGTTGAACATCAACATTACCCAAGTTGTCTGAAGCATGCGGAGGTGGTGCTCATCCACAAGGCCGGTAAAGCTAGATACACGATTGAGAGCTATCGCCCAATCTCGATGCTCAGTGCGGTCGCGAAAGTTAAGTACTGCTACACTTCTTCGCTCAGAGGTGAAGATGGAACTTGTCCCGAAGGAGCTATTTGCGCTCATTCGTTCTCGAGCGAGTTGTCTAAGCAGTAGCTGCAGATCCGTGCCGTACTTTGATATGAACGAAATTGAGATGAACACATCGAAAACTGAGCTCGTTACGTTTACGAAGACATTTACCAACGTGAAGATTTTCAGAAAACTGCGAATCAAAGGCGTGAGAGCTGATGAGTAGAAAAGCCCGCAATATTTGGGAGTGATCCTAGATAGGCCCTGAATTTTCAGGAACACTTGTATGGGAACATTGTATGGAACTCCAAGCTCAGTGTTGACAACAAGTTGCTTATTCACAAACAAGTGATGAGACCAGCTACGTTATACATTTGTTCTGTGTTCTGCAGACTCGAGAGATCTCCTTTACAGACTTGAAAGGATGCACAAGAAGGTGCTCCGTATTTACATACATTGGTTGATTTGTTAGATCTGGCTGAAGTGGAAGGAGGCTGTCTCAAAAATTCTTCCAGACCTTTCTGCAGAAAAGTCCGCTGACGAGGAGTTATCATAATCAGCCCCGTAAACACGGGCTGATCTATGATTCAATGGATACCTTCCATGAACAGCAAGAACACGATCACGATGTGATCGTGTTCACGCTGTAGCAAGGAGAACTCTCGCACGAGCTTCGGCAGGAAGCGAGGCGGAGACCAAAGCAAAAATCTGTTAAATGGAGAGCTACCCGGTAACATCAACGGAGGTACCCCTAACTGTCCAATCGTGGGACCGTGTGGTGGCATGTCTTCTGCCGTTTTGTTAGGCTCAACAAAACAGTCATCCTCATGCCATCCCCCCTAAACATATCCCTCTTTCTTCCCTTACCGTACTCCCATTTGTGGGAGTGTTTTTGTAAATATTTGAATAGATTTTTGTCAGTGTTGTAACCAAATAGACAAATGAAGAATTTTGGATTTTCGGATTTTTTTGTAGACGGACGGTAACGCTTCAAACTGTCTGGTGGTGGTCGATAATTTCTTCATTGATCATTCAAAGGAACAAATTTGGCGGATTTAGTGAAATAGAAAAGCAGTAATCTTCGGAATTCAACGCTACAGAAATTCAAACCTGCTCTGACTTATGAGAAAATGACTGGTTCTGATATCAACACATTGAGTCTTGTATTATTCAAATTTCAATAAGTTCCATTGGATTCTCTCGACTTCAGACAATTGCTGGTGAACTGAAAATCTAATCTTTTTCAATAGATACTTTACTTTTACATTTTTCCCACCTCCACCATGGTGGACGAGAGCTGAGACTATTCACAATTAAAATTTACGTTATTGATTCTATCAAAGAAATATATTTGTCATTTTTGTCAATTCAGTTGATTTATGACAATCTAGGTTTTTTTGAAATGTCGTACATCTCTCCGAGAATTTCAGGAGAACTTTTATATATTATCTTACCCCCTGTGGTTATTATAGAGTTATCTTGTGGGAGTTGGGTAATGTATAGTTTCATAGTAAGTACCGTCAACAACATAAAATACCTATTTCAGTATGGGCATCAGTGAAAATCATTCAAAAATATCGTTACGCCGAACTTATGCTTACCAAAAACGTTGACAAAGACTGTGGATGGTGCACTTCTTCCACCTTCGTTCACCGCTATACAAGTGAAATTACTTCTTGACTGTAATCTCACGCTAGTGATGGTATAGTTCGGTGTTGTTATCTCAGTCATTTGGTGAGATCCTCTAAACCACATGTAAGTGACATTGTCTGGCCTGCCAGGATCTTCAACAGAACATTCCAGTGTCACCGATGCACCTTTGATCACTTTTGAAGGGAAAAAACGCAGGCTTGTAGCATTAGGAGGATCTGAAAAGAAATTGAATGTGTTAAAGCACCAATGAAACTGATTTGACTATATCAGTTTACTTACAATAAACAACCAGCTCCTCGGGCTCAGAAACAGGACCCCATCCAGCTACAGTGTACCCTTGACAGGTGTATCTGCCTGCGAAAGTCTCGTCCACCTTCTGTAAACTCATAATGCTGGGATCCAAACTACAGAAAGGACCACCATTTGATTCTGTTGTGCCATTGACATCGCTGTTAGTGTAGTTGCATTCGGGTAACTCTTTCATGATATCTCCGTCTAAGGACCATCTCACCTGTTATCGAATATTCATTATTTTCAATTAGTATACCAAGAGGCTCCTTGAAGAATTCGATACTTCAAGATATTAGATAGAAACTATTTTGGATTGACCCCGTCTCGAATACGAAACTGAAGTATAATATAATTCGAGTATTAGATGGCAATGTATTTCTTATCATGTGATTATAAACTGTTATATAGGAGGAAATGAATGCAACTCTAGTGTCGGCTGGTGTGAACCTCGAAGTAGGAATGGGTTAATTGAGGCTGAGCCTATGGCGAGAAGCGCTTACTGCGCAACCTCTGCGGCAGGCAGTCAGTGATGCAATTGAACCCAGGTTTGTGTTTGATAAACCCCACAAAATACAAATAAAACAGAATATAGAGTCAGATGCTACAAATGCAATATGCGTATATACAGACGGCACAGAAACCAAAAAAGGCTCAGGATGTGGAGTTTACTCGAGATCACTAAGCCTAAGGATCAAGTGGAGATTATTAAAAATATCAGCGTGGTTCAAACAGAACTGGCTGGTATCTCAATCGCCACAAAAAATAACTAGGGAAGGAATTTCTGACAAAAACATAACAATCTGCACTGATAGTGGACAAGCCCAATTAACCTTGAGCAGACAACATGTTACCTCAAGGTTAGTTCTAAAGTGCCACCAATACTTAGTCAAAGCCTCGGTAGATAATAACACTATCCTGAAGTGGGTTTGAGGGCACGACAGGAGTAAAGCTAATCGCATTACCAACTTTTTAGCCAAGGAAGCGGCTGGACTAAGAATTTTAGGACCCAGTGACACCTATGGCCTGACGATTTCGACAATTACGAAACTAGCCAAACGTCATACCCATGCTGAATCCCTAGAGAGATGGGATGGAATCAAAGGATGCAGTTTTGCCAGGATCACCCTGGACGACCCTGGGAAGCTGGCTCCGAAGAAATATCTGGCGATGGCCAGGAAAAACCTACGCCTAATAGTAGGATTTCTGACTTTCCACTGTTAACTAAGGAAACACCTTCATGATATGGAGTTAGTAGACACACCTCTATGAAGAATGTGTGAACAGGAAGATATGTAACTCTCAGGCATGTCCTATGCGAGTGTCCGGAGTTATCGTGCATAAGAAAGAATCTTGGCCTACACCTGGCGATATAAAGGAAATGTCTCCTAGTGACCCGTCCACCTTCCTGAAAAAGGCAGGGTGGATGATGACCTAGGAAGACAACTCCTCGGGAGGATGTACAATGTGGCCTGAGTACTGTGTGCCTACCCTCACTCTCCCTACTCTCCAATATGACAACGTAATGATTTATTGTATGCTTATCGCAGCATGATTTTCTGTAATGCAATTTAGAGAAAAAATTATTGAAAATGCAATATTTGTAATAATACATGAATTTGAATTGATAATATGTATTCAGAACCAAACGTTTCATTCGATCAAAAAAAATCACATGTACATATGGTGAAAAAATTTGTTTATCATTTCTCAAATCTTGATAAATCGTGCCAAACTTTATTTCACAACTCCATCATTCATTTTTGCCACATTCATTATTTACGAAAATAGTGCCCTTCTTACCTTTTGTAGCACAGATGGATTCCCTGAAGTCACGTTACATATTAGAGTGACGGTACTCTTATCCACTGATTTAACAGGCGTCGAAGGAGAAATTATAACTTCCACATCAGGTGCATCTACGAAAAAATAATTCAATAGGTTTCCTCAGTGTGAATAGTTACTAACTAACATAAAACGCTTAGGAATATACTATCTTCGGATATTTCGGTACCAATGTCATTTCCTAGAGAACAGCTGTACTCTCCCATATCTTCACGTGTTACGTTGTTGATATACAAAGGAGGATTAGTTGTTGTACCCCCTACGTATTTACTTGTATCACTGAGGTCGAGGTTCCTCCCATCTTTTATCCTGGAACATGAGGGTTTAACTGAATACTGTGATGATACGGTCATCAAATAACTCATACAATTTTAAGGAAACAGCTCTTTCAGATCATGCATATAGTTGAGTTTGGAGTTTTCAAATTCTCATATTAAAAAATGATTCTATTTATTTTGATAGTTCATAGTTCATAGATCTCATTTAAATACCATACATAGTATGATATTACATCAAGATGTTGTTGTTGAGTTATTAATTATAAAAGATCAAGATATGAAAACCTTTGTTATTCCTTATACACCAGTGGTGAGTATTTTATTATTTGAAATGATGATTGTTTTTTTAGTAGTCATTCACGAAAATTAGGTCTATTGGAGTTTTTTAATTTTACATTTACTTATTTTCGAGAGAAATGTAATTTTGCAGAATCAATTTATTCAACATGAATTGTAAAGAACATTTTCAAATACAAGCCTTTACTCCCCGAACAGAAAACAAAAAACTCCAAAATCAATAAAACCATTCAATCCATTTATATTAACCAATTCATATGATATAAAATCTTGTCGCGACACTTATCCATTTTACAAAAAATATGCCTGCTTTCCTGATAATACTTATGTAAAGAACAATTTACATATTGTATTCTTGTTACTACTTATGTAAATCTAGGGATAAGCTTTTATATTGTATACATTGTAAAATATGAACCTTTTCTTCTGATATGCATATTATGTGAGTGCATTAAAACATAGTTCACCATCTTTGGGAGTCTCCCGTATCAGTTTTAGAGGGATGTAATATTATTTTCCGTATTCTTTTCAGCAAACCCTTACATTACGATAATATGTTTTATTCGTACTATTTCATTACATATCTCAATTCAACCAATCATAAAATGAACAAAACAGAAAAAAACCACAAGGAAATGAATCCGCGTGTGGCATGAAATTTTTGTCCAAACATTAAACGTGAACATCATTAAAATACAAATATTCTTTAATTTAGTTTNGATAAGGGTTTTTGAGGCTCCTCCCCATGCAATGATTCCATAGGAAAGATGGCTTTCGACCAAAGCCTGGTACAGTATTTATAGATATTTTATATTAATGATGTTAAATATGTTTTTGAATTTATAGACCATGAATCGCAACTTTCCAATTACATAATTAATTTGATATTTCCAATTCAAATAAGAATATATATATATGCTTAGGTATTTAAGCTTATCGTAGTATGTAAACATCAAAAAGTGAGTTTGTTTATAATTGATTGTCAGTATTCTATCGTTGAAGAAATTTATTATATTTAGAAAGTCAACCTCAATGTTATTTTTGAGCGTGGTTCAGTCAGTTCCTTCGTAGAAAACGGCAGTGTCGTTCGCGAAACTCACAACTTCCCCACACGTATCTTGTTCGAAAAGATCATTGACATAAAGATTGAAGAGAGTTGGCCCCAAAACAGTACCTTGAGGCACTCCATATGTGATAATTTGATAACTGCTCATAGCATCATTCATATTGATGCATTGTTTTCTGTTACATAAGTAACTCTCAAATAATTTATGAGCAACTCCTCCTATGCCAATATTTGATAGCACTGTCAGTAGTTTTGAATGGTCATTGGTGTCGAATGCTTTTGCAAGATTGATGAAGACACAGATAGAAGGATTATTTTGTCAATTGCATCATTTATCAGCCCTGTCAATCTGGTAATTGCATCAGATGTTGAATTATTCTTACGAAAACCATATTGTCTACTCGATGAAATATTATAACTTTCGAGAAATGAGACCAACCTCTTCTGTAAGGTTTTTTCGAAAACTTTTCCCATGCTCGATATCAATGAAATAGAGCGGTAGTTCGTAGCATTAAGTTTATCACCGTTTTTGAAGAGAGGTTTCATTTCAGCAATTTTTAGGATATCTGTAAATTTCCCATCGTTCACATACCCATATCATCGGATGCATAAAAAACTAGTCTGCCATCTTGGACGATTCACAATATTGGATTCGAAATGATGTCATTTCATTGTTTGTATTCTTCTTAGCAAATCCTCTCAACTTATACTCATATCATGGATGTGCATAAGAAACTGGTCCGCCATTTCTGGCGATCCGCCCCATTGAATTTAGACTAACGTCATATTATTTTCCGTATTTTATTAAACAAACTCATTCAATTGGCACTCGTACCAGGGTTATGAGGGCGAATAAAAAACTAATACACCATCTTGAACGGTACTTCATATTAGATTTAGCAAACAAGTCTGACGTTTGGATGATCCGCCATGTAGGAGTAGAATTACGCTGCTCAGCTTATTGTCATTCAAACTGAACGTGTATGCAAAATTTTAGCAGAATCGGTTGAGCTGCAAGATTTGACCTGAATTGAACTGGCTCCTAAACACATACGTCATATGTATCTTGAAGTTTCTTTGAAAGGTTGGTTGGAAGCATAAAAGTTATTCTTTCTCTAGAACAAATTGGGAAGAATAGGAAATTTTCCATTTTTTTCTAGATAAAAAGTTTTGAGTAAACTCACTCCACTCCAATGATAGTTGGTTACATAAACTTCAAATTTGACCAATTAAATTTCAAAACTGTGACAAAATTAGAGTATACCCAACCTGAAATTGCAATCAAACAGAGCTTCAAAGTAACAGAAAACTATGAATGCTATCGTTAAACATGATTTTTTGAAGGAGTTATGCAATCATCAGTTCAAAGATGTCTTATTTTCATGAAAAAAAAAAGACAAAGAATGCAATGTAGTTTTGTATCCATTCAAATACTGAATTCAACAATAATTTTGGAGTTGAAAATTTGGCGAAATCTTTAAAGCATTCACCAAATTGTGTGATATGGAATTGGCGATCACTGAAAAAATACAAACTATTAAAGTTTGGAAAGTTAGGAACATGAATGAACGTTTTTCATAGCGTTATGACTTTTTTCATCGGACATTTTCATCAGAACAATTTTATGAAAACTTCTTCACAAAAAAATTTACCCTGTTATCATTTAGTTTTATTGAATTCTTGAGGTGTTTTAGAACTTCACAGAAGATCAATAGATGTTAATTGGTTGTATCTGCTTATTTTTTTTCTGTTATTTTCTCAAATTTTCCCATGATTGGCGTGTTCGTAAGGAAAAAGGTAATCATCTTTACTTTTAGGCTTGTCCTGAAAAACAATTGAGTGGTTCAGAAGCACCGATGAGACCTTGGTGAGTCGAAACCGTGCAGTCTGTTGTTGCATGACAAGCTTTTGAGTTATTTTTTCAATTGAATGTCCATTATATTATTTAGATGATACTAAAATGCAATTGTATCATCTCCACTGAAAGACCTTTGAAACTTGTTCCAAAGTGACAACATTTTCAATTTATGTTGATGAGGTACTATATTATCATAATTTATAGTATAAACCATTCAATTCTTATGCATACATGTCCCTTAGCTATTCGTTGATTCGCTTTGAAATTCTAAAATACCACCTCAAGAAATTTAGTGTTTTAGCGGCCAATTTTTTTGTTAAAGAAATATCAATAACGAACCTTTCATGAAACTTTTCGATAAAATTAGTGAAAAAGTTATCACGTTTCAACAGAATACATCATATAATTTCGAATATTTTTTGTTTATAACCTTCTAATCACAAATTCAACAAAAAATATCTCAAAAATAGTTGTAGAAAAAATTACTATCTGAAAACAAGTTTCAACAATGATACACGGTGACGTATTATTGAAAGAATAAAAAAATTAGCCTAATATGGAATATTCAAGGCGATGCTAAATTCACTACAATAAATTGACCTAGTTTCGTATGGATTGTGAGCATTTAATATTTATGATATTATTTACCATTGTGCTGACTTCAGCTCCTGAGGATTAGCAAAATAGACACACTGAAGAAATACACTGGTGACGTTCATATATGTAGACTCATTGATTGTAGCCTTCAGCGGCTTGACAGTGATAACAGGAGGATCTGTAAAATAAACAAATCGTAACACACATCAATTTATCCCCACAAGGGCGATCTCACATCGAACATCCAGAATCAAGCTCGAATGAAGTTCTTGTTCACCATTTTTCTTCATCACTTCGTTTTCTGCGTAACAGTAAATAGTCTTTCCGTTTTCCCAATGACTGGCTTTGAAAGATAATGAACTGATGGTGGTGAATGTTCCGTCTTTCTGTAAAACGAGAAAAATCATAAATCACCTACTACTATCAAATAATTAAGTATCTACTAATATAACATGCAGGAATAGGTATTTACATTAGTATTTCCAACAACTATAGTTTTTTTCATATATTTACGATTTTATTATATGCGAAATGAAAAGTGAAAGCCTCAACCAGATGTGTCCCTAGCTGTGACGAAAAGTTCGTCATCAATAAATGACAATTCTGTCGATTCCATAGTAAATAAACGAACAATATCTACAATATTTACAAGTAAATTTAGACCGTTACAACCATAATCATTGTAAAATTTGTGTGCGATAATTTGTTTATATGATGATGTTATTCTTCAAGGAGTTAATGATTTTGTTATACTTCTACGTGTTCGAATTTGAGAGAAGTATTTATAGTGTTTTATGAAGCTGTAGGTCATTAAAATATTTTTCTTTGTTTTTTTTTGTTTCTGTGACTTTCATTTCTGTAGCAATATGATTTGGAAGCTTACAATTGATATTTTGCGGATTATGGAAATACGATGTTCTCCTTATGCAACTTACTCATAGAGTCTACACTAATTTAACGAACTATATAATCATCTGTTGTAAAAACTAGTTTCATATTCCACTTGATCGCCAAAAAAATTAAATTTCAACGGATGATTAAGTGGTAATGTATTTCAATTGTGTTCAATCAGAAATTTCGAAAGTTACCTCTGAAATATTAAATATTGGCTGTAGTTGTTTGCCGAATGAATTATTCAATGAATAAATCACGTAGCGTTATTTGTGGGTGTTATTGATAATAGCAGATTATTTCAACAAACCTGTCCCCAAAACAGAGAAGACCTTCAACAGATCAACAATTGCTTGGGACCTAACGTAACTGAGAAATGAATATCACCGAGAAGAGCCGAATTGTAACCGCCAACAAGGAACATCCAGGATCCATGCCTGCAGTCGACTCCTTTCACTTCGTCTGCTCTCAGTGATTTTTTTAAGATTATACCTTAACCGGGAACAGCTAGTCAACTTATATAGAGCTCTCAAAGATTTTCAAATAAAAGGGATAAAATATCATGATTTCAAAAGCACTACAGGAAGCTTATTCCACACGAACGTAATTCTGCAGATGAAAGAGTTCTTAAACAGTGAAATTTAAGAACTCTTTCTAAGTAGAACCTCGAAATGATGAGTAGCCACAGTACGTCGTGTATTTCTGATATGCATCACTCTTGGTTGAATCAAATGTGCCAAGTCACTTGAACACCTCCCGTGAAATTATCAATGAAAGAGAGTCAAATCTCCCTCCCTTCTTCGATACTCCATACTATCAAGTTTGCAAGTGATGTTCGTATTTCCAATCAAGAAGATGGCTCTTTCTTGGATGGAATCCAGCACTTTCAGGGTATGCTCGGGGTCGTGGCTCCATACATGAGAACTCTACTCCAAAGAAGATCTGATCTGAGCTTTATGAAGCATCAAAAGTTACTCAGGTGTGTAAAGTTTTCTGGTTCGGAACGGTGTTTCGAACTTGTGAGGAGCAGCCTTTGCTATTCCAGCGACATGATTTTACCAAGACATATTGGTGTCCATTTTAACCCCCAACAAACTTATCTAAGCAGAAAGCAGAATTATTTGTCCTGAAATTATTATATCCGGTTTGGAGACATCTACTTTTTCTTTTGGAAAAAACCGATACCTGGGTTTTTGTAATATTGAATTGAACCTGGTTACTTTCACCTGGTTTCAAAATCACTTCTGAATCCTCATTGATATATTCAACTTTCTGCTGCCGGTGAAGATGTGCATCCGCAGCCGATGTCCTGGATTCCTAAGGAAATGACCACACAAGTGTCAAATGTGAATCACTACTTTCTCATAGGCACCGCTCTAAGATATCCTAAAGGATTTTCCTGTAGTGCTTGTGTTTTGTCCTTGAAAAAAACCCAAATGAACAGACAGGCCAGATGTATTAATCTGTTTGATAAAAATAATGATATCTGGATATTTAATCACGTAGAATACGTGATGTAATGTAGATGTAATGTCATTCAACAGAATGTAAATGTACTCGCATCTGCTTGTTAGTGGTAAAGTAAAGTAAATATTTCTTCCCACAAGTGGTAGAAAAAAAAAAAAGTGTTGATTCAGAAAACATTGTTTTATAACAAACTTCAGATAATCCAGAGAGGTTGTCACTTGAGAGGATGTAAAGTGAAAGATCTGTGACAGAAATATCCAAGAAAATTATATTGAGGGAAAAGGAAATATATTTTAAGGTTATTATATTTTGAAAAATGAAGGAAAGTCAAAAGGATGTAGGTTTCTTGTCTGTGTATGGAAATGATGACCTAGGATTCACATATTCTTTTTTTCAGCAATACTTTAACTATTTAGTAACTCAAAAGTAAGTGGAACACTTATTCAGAATGACCATTAAATCAACGTGAAATTGCGTGTTCACGAGTAAAATACTTCCATATGTGATTGAATTGGCCAGTACTTGATGAAAGTGTAGTACAAACATATTGTAACAATCATGCCTGAGGAAGCTACTGTATAGTGAATCTAGTGAAGCGATTTTTCAAACTGTTTAATGAGAATCTTACAATAAACTGTTATTCAGATGGAATAATTTCAGATGCAGTGTTTATTATCAAAACATACATATTTTTAGCTAACTGTTTACTGATTTTGAGTTGTATTTTGAATTTTATTGCTCTTTAAGGATTTTAACGAAAGTTGTATTATTTCGTGCTCATAATCGTATTATAAAAGATAATACCTCTTTTACCTTAGCTTGCATAAGTTTTGACTTTCGAGGGCTGTTGTTCATAGGGATTTTCCAGAGAATATTGAATGCATCTGATGAAGTCTTATAGTGTTTCGGTCATAACGAATATTGAAATAAATGAAAGATTAAGAGTTTAATCTTTCTATCGAATATGATCACTTGGTTATCGAAACAACAGGGGGATGGAGAGTTTAATCTTCCTCCTGAAGATGATCACTTGGTGATCGGAACACGTGTTGAAATGACGGATTGATGTTGGGAAAAAACTCCAGTAATATTCATAACTGAACTATGTCGAATTTGTAAAACCGTATTTGATGGAATTGGCTGATTCTTGAAGGAAATCCATAACTCATTCAAGTTACATTTCAAAATTTAATTCTATTTGGTCATACAGTAAATTTTCAGGATTCGTGAATCTATTGATTGAGTTTCAAACCTTTCTCTATCAAATGAAAAACTTTGTAGTTATGGTTGAACTCATGTCCCTAAGTCGAAAAATGTTCTGCAAATGTGGAATTCGTCTTCACATTCAAAAACTTTTTCTATGTTCTTTCATTCTCTGAGAAATGGTTTCCTCTGTTTGTACAATATACAGTTCAGAGCAAGAAATATGAATCTCATAAACTCCTGATCTATCCTACACTGAAGTGTTGTCTTAATTGTTTGTTATAAGATGCTTTGTGAAACATTATAAAATCATTTTCATTATTATTTTAGTAACAGTTACGCCTGAGAAAATAAATGAATTATTCACCATTATTTCACTGAAGTATCAGATCGATGGATGGATGGAATTAACAAATTCGACAAACTTGGGAAGTCTTGTCTCATAGTTCGTACCAAGGATCAAACCTAAATCGTCACTGACGTATAGTTTATATGCCAAAGATTTCTATGAATATCTGAATTATTATATTTTTTTCATTCTTTATAAATATCATTTTAGTTCAACCAAAGTGATTCAAAGAATTCGAGGTGAACATTCATGCATATTGCTTATGCATACATAACCTAAAATGTTAGTGTTAGTGTTATCTAGTTTCTCAACCACCTCCCAATTTACATCACTACGTTCTAGAATACTCAACTCTGTGATATCGTCACACGAACAGCAATATCAACGACATTAAAGGTTAATTTGGGAATAAATGTTAATTTGGGAAAGTTGCGAATCCAAATGAAATCAAGTAAGCTATATTACATGACAAATTTAAATATTCATTCTAGACCAGTGGTCGCCAACCTCTTCAATGTGTTGAGCTACTTTGTTAATTTTGAAATAAACAGCGAGCTACCCCACGTAATGCAACGTAAATGAAATGATCCACAGTTAATTTATCATAATATGTATTTATTTTACTATTTAACTGGTGATACATAATACATAGGTACTAATAATAAACATAACGCGCTGGTCCGGCTGGTCGGTTCTAGCCGATTCTAGCTTGATGACGTCAGCGGCAGATCTCTCACCGCAACGTTGCCGCTGTTTATGTTTAATATTATGACAATTATATTTTTTTGTGGAATTTTCGGAAGCTTCTCTGATTTTTGCAGTTTGTATTTTTTAAATTAAAATCGTTGTGAGAGCTACCAGAATTGCCTCTGCGACCTACCGGTAGCTCGCGATCGACAGATTGGCGACCACTGTTCTAGACGAATGAATCGCTTCACCAGTGTTCAGATATCTTAGAATGAACAATTTGTCAAAAATGTTTTCATCTTGATAGCATCAAGATTTGAAATCAAAAACGTCCCACCTGAAGTCCTTTGTTGAATGAATCTGTCTGCAAACGCCATTTAATTATTATTTCTATCGATTTTTGATGTTGAATATTTATAGTCTATTTTTAGAGAGATAATTGTAACGGTTTCTGGTGAGAACACAGGCGTTCAGAGGTATCAACTAGAGGCATCCATTCGTTGATGAAAGACAGCCGGAAAGAATGCGAAGAAATGGATCCAAATATAATAGAAACTTTCTCAGATATGAACGTTTAACTTATGGCAATGTAACAAACTTATCGTTGAAAACAACTTCAGAAACTTTGTAGCGAGTCGAGACTGAATCTGAGATTATCCAAAGCGAAATAAAGATTTGGGGAGAAGATCCTCAATTTTGAATAGCGATGAGTTCAACCAGGATCAAATGAAGTCTGAACCGGAAAACCGTACAATCCAAAAGGAGGAGGAAGCATATTTCAATAACTCA